AAGCTTATTTTTCGATTTAAACGTGTTTTAACGAAGTTATAAGCGATTTTAGTTTTCCTTAGGTTTTCGACCAAAAAATCGATTTTTGAAGGGAAATATGGGTGATCACAAAATAAGCTTAGTTTTCGATTTAAACGTGTTTTAACGAAGTTATAAGCGATTTTAATTTTCCTTGGGTTTTCGACCAAAAAATCGATTCTTGAAGGGAAATATGGGTGATCACAAAATAAGCTTAGTTTTCGATTTAAACGTGTTTTAACGAAGTTATAAGCGATTTTAGTTTTCCTTAGGTTTTCGACCAAAAAATCGAGTTTTGAAGGGAAATATGGGTGATCACAAAATAAGCTTATTTTTCGATTTAAACGTGTTTTAACGAAGTTATAAGCGATTTTAGTTTTCCTTAGATTTTCGACCAAAAAATCGAGTTTTGAAGGGAAATATGGGTGATCACAAAATAAGCCTATTTTTCGATTTAAACGTGTTTTAACTAAGTTATAAGCGATTTTAGTTTTCCTTAGATTTTCGACCAAAAAGTCGATTTTTGAAGGGAAATATGGGTGATCACAAAATAAGCTTATTTTTCGATTTAAACGTGTTTTAACGAAGTTATAAGCGATTTTAGTTTTCCTTAAGTTATCGACCAAATAATAGATTTTTTAAGGGAAATATGGGTGATCACAAAATAAGCTTATTTTTCGATTTAAACGTGTTTTAACGAAGTTATACGCGATTTTAGTTTTCCTTAGATTTTCGACCAAAAAGTCGATTTTTGAAGGGAAATATGGGTGATCACAAAATAAGCTTAGTTTTCGATTTAAACGTGTTTTAACGGAGTTATAAGCGATTTTAGTTTTCCTTAGATTTTCGACCAAAAAATCGAGTTTTGAAGGGAAATATGGGTGATCACAAAATAAGCTTATTTTTCGATTTAAACTTGTTTTAACGAAGTTATAAGCGATTTTAGTTTTCCTTAAGTTATCGAACAATAAATCGATTTTTGAAGGGAAATATGGGTGATCTCAAAATAAGCTTATTTTTCGATTTAAACGTGTTTTAACAAAGTTATAAGCGATTTTAGTTTTCCTTAAGTTATCGAACAAAAGATCGATTTTTGAAGGGAAATATGGGTGATCTCAAAATAAGCTTATTTTTCGATTTAAACGTGTTTTAACGAAGTTATAAGCGATTTTAGTTTTCCTTAGATTTTGGACCAAAAAATCGAGTTTTGAAGTGAAATATGGGTGATCACAAAATAAGCTTATTTTTCGATATAAACGTGTTTTAACGAAGTTATAAGCGATTTTAGTTTTCCTTAGATTTTGGACCAAAAAATCGAGTTTTGAAGGGAAATATGGGTGATCACAAAATAAGCTTAGTTTTCGATTTAAACGTGTTTCAACGAAGTTATAAGCGATTTTAGTTTTCCTTAGGTTTTTGACCAAAAAATCGAGTTTTGAAGGGAAATATGGGTGATCACAAAATAAGCTTAGTTTTCGATTTAAACGTGTTTTAACGAAGTTATAAGCGATTTTAGTTTTCCTTAGGTTTTCGACCAAAAAATCGAGTTTTGAAGGGAAATATGGGTGATCACAAAATAAGCTTATTTTTCGATTTAAACGTGTTTTAACGAAGTTATAACCGATTTTAGTTTTCCTTAGATTTTCGACCAAAAAGTCGATTTTTGAAGGGAAATATGGGTGATCACAAAATAAGCTTATTTTTCGATTTAAACGTGTTTTAACCAAATTATAAGCGATTTTAGTTTTCCTTAAAATCGATTTTTTTTCCAAAAAATCGATTTTTGAAGGGAAATATGGGTGATCACAAATAAGCTTATTTTTCGATTTAAACGTGTTTTAACGAAGTTATAACCGATTTTAGTTTTCCTTAAGTTATCGACCAAAAAATTGATTTTTGAAGGGAAATATGGGTGATCACAAAATAAACTTATTTTTCGATTTAAACGTGTTTTAACGAAGTTATAACCGATTTTAGTTTTCCTTCAGTTATCGACCAAAAAATTGATTTTTGAAGGGAAATATGGGTGATCACAAAATAAGCTTATTTTTCGATGTAAACGTGTTTTAACGAAGTTATAACCGATTTTAGTTTTCCTTAAGTTATCGACCAAAAATTCGGTTTTTGGAGGGAAATATGGGTGATCACAAAATAAGCTTAGTTTTCGATTTAAACGTGTATTAACGAGGTTATAAGCAATTTTAGTTTTCCTTAGGTTTTCAACCAAAAAATCGATTTGTGAAGGGAAATATGGGTGATCACAAAATAAGCTTATTTTTCGATTTAAACGTGTATTAACGAAGTTATAAGCGATTTTAGTTTTCCTTAAGTTATCGACCAAATAATAGATTTTTGAAGGGAAATATGGGTGATCACAACGAAGTTATAAGCGATTTTAGTTTTCCTTACGTTTTCGACCAAAAAATCGAGTTTTGAAGGGAAATATGGGTGATCACAAAATAAGCTTATTTTTCGATTTAAACGTGTTTTAACGAAGTTATATGCGATTTTAGTTTTCCTTAGGTTTTCAACCAAAAAATCGATTTGTGAAGGGAAATATGGATGATCACAAAATAAGCTTATTTTTCGATTTAAACGTGTATTAACGAAGTTATAAGCGATTTTAGTTTTCCTTAGATTTTGGACCAAAAATCGAGTTTTGAAGGGAAATATGGGTGATCACAAAATAAGCTTATTTTTCGATTTAAACGTGTTTTAACGAAGTTATAAGCGATTTTAGTTTTCCTTAGATTTTGGGCCAAAAATCGAGTTTTGAAGGGAAATATGGCTGATCACAAAATAAGCTTATTTTTCGATTTAAACGTGTTTTAACGAAGTTATAAGCGATTTTAGTTTTCCTTACGTTTTCGACCAAAAAATCGAGTTTTGAAGGCAAAAATGGGTGATCACAAAATAAGCTTATTTTTCGATTTAAACGTGTTTTAAAGAAATTATAAGCGATTTTAGTTTTCCTTAGGGTTTCGACCAAAAATATCGATTTTTGAAGGGAAATATGGGTGATCACAAAATAAGCTTATTTTTCGATTTAAACGTGTTTTAACGAATTTATAAGCGATTTTAGTTTTCCTTACGTGTTCGACCAAAAAATCGGTTTTTGAAGGGAAATATGGGTGATCACAAAATAAGCTTATTTTTCGATTTAAACGTGTTTTAACGAAGTTATAAGCGATTTTAGTTTTCCTTAAGTTATCGAACAAAAAATCGATTTTTGAAGGGAAATATGGGTGGTCTCAAAATAAGATTATTTTTCGATTTAAACGTGTTTTAACGAAGTTATAACCGATTTTAGTTTCCCTAAGATATCGACCAAAAAATTGATTTTTGAAGGGAAATATGGGTGATCACAAAATAAACTTATATTTCGATTTAAACGTGTATTAACGAAGTTATAAGCGATTTTAGTTTTCCTTAGGTTTTCGACCAAAAATCGATTTTTGAAGGGAAATATGGGTGATCACAAAATAAGCTTAGTTTTCGATTTAAACGTGTTTTAGCGAAGTTATAAGCGATTTTAGTTTTCCTTACGTTTTCGACCAAAAAATCGAGTTTTGAAGGGAAATATGGGTGATCACAAAATAAGCTTATTTTTCGATTTAAACGTGTTTTAACGAAGTTATAAGCGATTTTAGTTTTCCTTAGGTTTTCGACCAAAAAATCGATTTTTGAAGGGAAATATGGGTGATCACAAAATAAGCTTATTTTTCGATTTAAACGTGTTTTAACGAAGTTATAAGCGATTTTAGTTTTTCTTAAGTTATCGACAAAAAAAATCGATTTTTGAAGGGAACTATGGGTGATCACAAATTAAACTCATTTTTCGATTTAAACGTGTTTTAACGAAGTTATAAGCGATTTTAGTTTTCCTTAGGTTTTCGACCAAAAATCGATTTTTGAAGGGAAATATGGGTGATCACAAAATAAGCTTAGTTTTCGATTTAAACGTGTTTTAACGAAGTTATAAGCGATTTTAGTTTTTCTTAAGTTATCGACAAAAAAAATCGATTTTTGAAGGGAACTATGGGTGATCACAAATTAAACTCATTTTTCGATTTAAACGTGTTTTAACGAAGTTATAAGCGATTTTAGTTTTCCTTAGGTTTTCGACCAAAAAAGGGAATGGAAATATGGGTGATCACAAAATAAGCTTATTTTTCGATTTAAACGTGTTTTAACGAAGTTATAAGCGATTTTAGTTTTCTTTAAGTTATCGACCAAAAAATCGATTTTTGAAGGGAAATATGGGTGATCACAAAATAAGCTTATTTTTCGATTTAAACGTGTTTTAACGAAGTTATAAGTGATTTTAGTTTTCCTTAGGTTTTCGACAAAAAAATCGATTTTTGAAGGGAAATATGGGTGATCACAAAATAAGCTTAGTTTTCGATTTAAACGTGTTTTAACGAAGTTATAAGCGATTTTAGTTTTCCTTAGGTTTTCGACCAAAAAATCGATTTTTGAAGGGAAATATGGGTGATCACAAAATAAGCTTAGTTTTCGATTTAAACGTGTATTAACGAAGTTATAAGCGATTTTAATTTTCCTTAGATTTTCGACCAAAAAATCGAGTTTTGAAGGGAAATATGGGTGATCACAAAATAAGCTTATTTTTCGATTTAAACGTGTTTTAACGAAGTTATAAGCGATTTTAGTTTTCCTTAAGTTTTTGACCAAAAAATCGATTTTTGTAGGGAAATATGGGTGATCACAAAATAAGCTTAGTTTTCGATTTAAACGTGTTTTAACGAAATTATAGAAATTTAATTTTATTGGCCATAAATTTCGTTTTGGAGGAAAAATAAATATTCAAAATTCATTCACATTAAGCTGTGGCACCCCTTTGGAATATCTTATTGTTTTGTTTTGTTTTGTTTTGTTTTGTTTTTAATAAAAAGATAACTTTATCGAAAGTAAAAAAAAGTATTTTGCAATAAACATTTATTTAGTTTAACAAAGTCTCTAAACAAATAAACACACAACTACGCACGATCTCAAACAAAATAATAACAAAAAACAAAAACAAATTTGCTTAGAAAAACATGGCAGACTTTATCACCACTTACCACCAAGAACAAAAACTCTGGAAGGGTTTGAATAAACCTAAACTTTGCAATGAAAATATTTCTGCTGGAGCAAAGGCCTTAGAACTATTGCGCTCCAAAAATCCTCAAGATATAATGCAAATTTCTGATAGTGAAAAAGCCACAATGACCTATGGCTCAGCCCTAAAAGTAGCCATTAAAATAGCTGAATATTTTAGAAGTCTTGCATTAACCGCCGATGATGTGGTGGGAATTTTAGCACCCGATACTACCTATGTTATGCCAGTGGCTTTGGCTTCATGGTTTAATGGTACACCTTTTCAGGCCATTAATTGTAAATGGGAAACGGGTTTGTAAATAAATTTTAAATAATTTTTATAATTTAATGAATGTGATTACATTTTTAGCTGTTATTCGTAATCTTTATGAGTTTAGTCGTCCCAAAATTATATTCTGTGATGGTTTACAATATGAAAAAGTTAAAGCAGCTTGTGAAAATTTCAAACCCTTAATATATACTCTGTGCAATCATTTGGAAAATGTGCCACAAATAGAAGATTTATTGCAGCGGTCGTTAGGGTATGAGGAGGAATTGTATCAGTAAGTACAATATTTTTAAATATTTATAGAATTTTTATATTGTTTTTTTTTTTTTTGGTAAGTTGTTATCAGTTATGCAAAAAATTCTATAAAATATTTGACTCATAGATTGCCTGACCTTTTCTAATATTAAGCGATAGCTTAACTATATAAATAAATAAATTATAAATATACATATAACCATTTTTAAAAGTGTAGTTCAGAAAATTTTCAGAGTGCAAATCAGGCCCCAAAGTCTTTATCAGACATGAGTTCAAAGTTTTCTTTACTTTCCAGTTCTGTACCATGTTGACAGTATATTTCATAATCAATTTCTGAGTTTTAGAATCTAGTTCAAAAACTATTAAGAAGTCCGAACCAGAGACTAGTTTTAAGTCTATTTCTAGGCCTATTTTAGAATCTAGTTCAGGGTCTCGATCAAAGTCAGTTGGATTTCGTTTAAAATACAACAATTTCATAAAAATGTTGTCCGGAATCTAATTCAGAGTCTTATAAGAACCTACTTTAAAATCTTTATCAGAGATGAGTTCAAAGTCTCTTTCAGAATTTTATTTACTTTCTAGTTCGGTATCACATTTATGAGTCCAAATCAGAGTTATGTTTAGAGTATATTTTAGAATCTAGTTCAAAAACTATTAAGAAATCCAAACCAGAGTCTAGTTTAAAGTCTATTTCTAGGCCTATTTTAGAATCTAGTTTAGGGTCTTGAACAAACGCAGTTAGATTTCGTTTAAAATACAACAATTTCATAAAAATGTTGTCCAGAATCTAATTCAGAGTCTTATAAGAACCTACTTTAAAATCTTTATCAGAGATGAGTTCAAAGTCTCTTTCAGAGTTTTATTTACTTTCTAGTTCTGTATCACATTTATGAGTCCAAATCAGTGTTATGTTTAGAGTATATTTTAGAATCTAGTTCAAAAACTATTAAGAAATCCAAACCAGAGTCTAGAACTAGAATCTAGTTCAAAAACTATTAAGAAATCCAAACCAGAGACTAGTTTTAAGTCTATTTCTAGGCCTTTTTTAGAATCTAGTTTAGGGTCTTGAACAAACTCAGTTAGATTTCGTTAGAACATAACAATTTCATAAACATGTTGTCCAGAATCTAATTCAGAGTCTTATAAGGATCTACTTTAAAATCTTTATCAGAGATGAGTTCAAAGTCTCTTTCAGAGTTTTATTTACCTTCTAGTTCTGTATCACATTTATGAGTCCAAATCAGAGTTATGTTTAGAGTATATTTTAGAATCTAGTTCAAAAACTATTAAGAAATCCAAACCAGAGTCTAGTTTAAAGTCTATTTCTAGGCCTATTTTAGAATCTAGTTTAGGGTCTTGAACAAACGCAGTTAGATTTCGTTTAAAATACAACAATTTCATAAAAATGTTGTCCAGAATCTAATTCAGAGTCTTATAAGAACCTACTTTAAAATCTTTATCAGAGATGAGTTCAAAGTCTCTTTCAGAGTTTTATTTACTTTATAGTTCTGTATCACATTTATGAGTCCAAATCAGAGTTATGTTTAGAGTATATTTTAGAATCTAGTTCAAAAACTATTAAGAAATCCAAACCAGAGACTAGTTTTAAGTCTATTTCTAGGCCTTTTTTAGAATCTAGTTTAGGGTCTTGAACAAACTCAGTTAGATTTCGTTAGAACATAACAATTTCATAAACATGTTGTCCAGAATCTAATTCAGAGTCTTATAAGGATCTACTTTAAAATCTTTATCAGAGATGAGTTCAAAGTCCCTTTCAGAGTTTTATTTACCTTTTAGTTCTGTGTCATATTTATGAGTCCAAATTAGAGTCAAGTTAAAGTCTATTTATGGGTCTATTTAGTATCTAGTTCAAAGTCTATTTGTGAGTCCAAATCAGTGTGTACTTTAGAGTCGATTTCTAGGTCTATTTTAGAATTATGTTGACTTTCGATTTGAGTTTAACAATTTCCCGCAAATGTAGTTCAAATCAGGGTATTCTTCTTTTTTTCAGACTTGAGTTCATGTTATCTTTCAGAGTATACTTTAATTGCCAGTTCTGTGTTATATTAAGAATGTTGTTCATTTGGGAGTCTAAAATAGAGTCGAGTTTATAGACTACTTCTAGGTCTATTTTGAAATCTAGTTTAAAGACTATTTGAAAGTCCAAATCATTGTCTACTTTAAATCATGATCTGTAGAAAATTCGTGACGGATTAGAATGGGTTTTAAAAAAATTTAAACAACTCAAAGAAATACGATTAACTGATAATAAATCGAAATTATCGAAAGACAAAGCCTTACGAAATCCCTACTAAAACCAAAGAAGATATATTTCCCCTTTTACACCATATATTTCAGAGCTGAACCGCTAAAATATGGCAGCAAACAAACTATGGTCATAATGGTATCATCCGGTACTTCTGGTATGCCGAAAGGAGTTTGTGTACCCAATAGTACCTGTATAACAGATTTTGGGTAAATATTTACTAAAGACTAATGCACTATCCTCTTTCAACTCATATATTTCTTTCCCTTACAGTTTCACTAATGCCAATACCAAAATGTTTTCCACCAGCAGCATAGATTGGTCTAGTGGTCTTTTGACCTTCATGGCCAATGTTTTAGTGGGTGGAACACGCATTATTACCCAACAACCTTTTACACCCGAATATTTACTGCAACTTATAGTGAAATATAAAATAAACTTTCTTTCCACAAATCCGGCAAATTTGTTGCAAGCTTCACTTTTAAAGGAATACACCGGCGAAACTATGAAAAGTATTAATTTGATATTTACCGCAGGATCCTATTGTTCGGAGTTAAATCTCGAACGTATGCGTTCAGCTTTAACTCAAGGTTTATTATTTTATGGTTATGGTGGCACTGAAACGGGAGGTGTGGCAGGTAGACTAAACTCTAATAAACCCAAATCAGTGGGTAGAATTTTGCCAAATGTCCAGTTGAAAATTGTGGAGGTGGATACAGGCAAGCGTTTGGGTCCCAACGAGATAGGAGAGATCTGTGTTCGACATGATTATGAATGGTGTGGTTATTATAATAATGCTGAAGCTACTGCTGCTACTTTGGATTCTGAAGGTTTCATACACACCGGTGATTTGGGTTATATCTACGAGGACAATTTTTTATTTTTAACCGGACGTTGCAAGGACATAATGAAATATTTAGGTTTTCAATATTCTCCTAATGATATTGAAGAGATTATTGCTGAAATGGAGGATGTGGTAGATGTTTGTGTTTTTGGAGTTTACGATGAAGTAAAGCAAGATGTTGCAGCAGCAGCGGTGGTTAAGAGAGAGGGTAGTGTTTTAACAGCGGAGCATGTTGTGAAATATGTGGAAAGTAAAACAGAGGCGCAACATAAAAGAATACATTATGGTGTATTTTTTGTAAAGAAATTACCCAGAAATCATAATGGCAAACTTTTGAGAGATAAAATTAAGGAAATATGTTTGGAAATGGAAAGATGTAATAAGAAGAAGGATTATTAAACGTAAGTGAAGTAGATGTGAAAAAAATTTTAAAAAATCAAGAGTTTTGTATTTTAATGTTTAGACTTTTTCTTTTTATTTCAAGAAACTTTTGAGTTTTGGAAAATTTAAAGCAATTTTCTTTAATTGGAAGTAATAAATAATGTTATTAATATAATAATTAACTAATAACTTTTTAATGAAAAGAAAATACTTCTTTACAAAATCGAAGTTTTAATAAAATAAAATAAATCACAGATGTTCTTTATTTTCTCTATAAGAATTATTATTTAAAGTTTTAGAATAGAGTTTAGGATTTTTATAACAATTGGATGATTTCTTAATAAAAACTATAATCGACGAAAAATTAAATTAAACATTGATTTTCATTATTTACTCATATAGACAAACAAATAAATAATAAAAATTTATTTCTAATGCAAAACAAATGATCACCTGTTGATTTTTTATAAAAATAATCAAAAATATCTAAAAATCAGTTTTTAAAGGAATCACATATTTTCACTATTTTCTCTATTGAAACATTCTCTCTATCACTATTTTCATATAAAAATCAATTATTAACATCTTACCTTATAATCTGGAATAATATGCCATCGACATCTTCTTGTTCAATAAAACTGCTTCTTTTATTATTAATTTTATAAATTTCTCAAAATGTATATAAATTCATAAAAAATTTTTAATTTTATTTAATTTTACATTTAATTTTTTAATTAATTTTCAATTTCTTTTAAAATTTACTAAAAAAAAAATTCAAATTGGGCATTTAAATTACTCAACGGATATAAAAAACACGGTTGAATTGTTAAAAAACAAGTGCTGCCACCTTTAAACCAATGGCAACACTAAACGCGACGCTAACATTGCTCTCTCACATTATGCTCTCACAAATGGCAACAAGTACCGTTAGAAATTTTCTTCAACAAATTTTACCTCCAACTTTACACACAAATTTAACACTTTTAACTTTAAATTTCCACAAAACTTTCATTTCACACTTAGACACCAACAATTTATTTACACTTTTATGTACTTTTTACAATTTAAACTACACTTTTACACTTGAAATTAATGAACTTTTCACAACACAACCGCCATTAATAAAAATCACGAATAAAAACTAAAACAAAATGACAAATAACAGACGCATGCAGAGGGAATTAATAACTCAATGAGGTATTTCACAGCAAACAGCTTTTGTTTATATTATGTTATGCTTACTAAACACAGCTTTGACAAGATGTGTCAAACTAATGTGCGAAATGTCAACCCTTTTCTCTTTCTCTATATCCGGTCAGCCATAAGACCTGTAAGTGCTGTTCGTAATTTTTTTAATATTTTACCAAAAAAATCAAGTGAATTATTTAAAAATCCATTAAATTATAATGCAAAATCGAAAACTACATATATTAAACTATAAATGTGCATATTTATTTTGTGATAATATTGAGTTATTCACCAAGAAAATGGAAAAATTGTAGTAGACATTTTGACAGAATGTTAATGGTTGTAAAGTGTAGAAAAAATGGTTTAAAAACAAAGAAAATTAAACTATAAAAGTGAAAATTAGTGCTAATTCACTTGATTTTTAATTGGTATTTAATGGAACAACGAAATTGTTAAAAATTTAACTAATATTTAACTTATTCTCTGTTTAATTTTATGTGTTCCGTGTTGTTTATATCATATTGGTGGCACCAACAACTAATACTCCCGTTCAACAACTAAAACAACAACAATAATAAACCAACAGCCAGCAAGATGAGGAAGATTATGAAACAAAACAAAATCGTAATTGTCCTTAGTGGACGTTACGCCGGCCGTAAGGCTATCATTGTCAAGACCGTTGATGATGGCACTCCCGACAAGCCATTCGGTCATGCTCTCGTTGCCGGTATCGACAGATACCCCCGCAAGGTAACCAAGTCCATGGGCAAGACTAAGTTGAAGAAGAAGTCCAAGATCAAGCCTTTCTTGAAGGTATTGAACTACAACCACTTGATGCCCACCCGTTACACCGCCAGCGAAATCGGTTTCGATAAGTTGTCGGCTAAGGACCTTAAGGATCCCATCAAGAGGAAAACACACCGTTTCCAAACTCGTGTCAAATTCGAGTCATCCTACAAGGAGGGCAAGAACAAGTGGTTCTTCCAAAAGTTGCGCTTCTAAACAGTGCCACTGTCTTATGTGCTTATTCCCTCAAGGCATTCTGATGACGGACTCGTCGCCAACTGTGTTGCGAGTGTGTTTTCTTTAGTTTTTAATTAAATCAAACAAACAATAACATCAATATTTGTAGGATATTAAACATAATTTTCTATGTTTTCTATTCTTCTGCTGTGTGGAGCTCTGTATGGAGGAACTTTTTTTTGTGACGTATTTTTTTATGGAAAAAAGTTACAATAAAATAAAATTTTAAAAACAAATTTCGTTTTAAAACAGTGTTCAAATTAATTATTATGAAGTGAAGTGATAATGTTTACAGAAAGTGTTATTACAGGGTTCTAAAACTGATGTGGAAAAAATGTTTAACATTGTCATGGATGTTGAAGAATTTACACTACAAACATGTGTTTGTTTTCATTGTTTACATTGGAGAATTAACGAATTTGTTGTACCTCAAGTAAACAAATAATATTTCGGGTTGAAAATTTTTAAATATTGGAATTTAGATTCGTTTTCCCAAAATGCAAAGTTTAGTGAAACGAAATTTGGAAGTTAATGAAGATTTAGTTTTAAAAAAATGATTAGAAACTGTTTATATATTGGGACCACACATTTATTTATGATCTTTGCGGTGGTCTCATGTTTATTTAAATTGAATGTTATTAGGAATACCTATTCTGCTGAACTTCAATACAGTTTAGTAAAAGATATTATTATTTTAAAAGTTGCGACCAGTTAGGTTTTCCGAATAGTTGACAGTTTGGTTATAGTATGAGAACCTTGACTAATAAATTAGAAACTATTATTTTAGATATAATAAGCTACTGAAATACAAGAAATGATTCTGAATCCAAATTTTGTACTCAAACTTCGCCCATATCTAACGGGCCAAATAACGCCATACGTGATCGAGTAAAATTGATCATAATTATATGCGTTAATTCGCTCCCAGCTTTCCATTTAGAAAACTGCCTTTTTCGAGGTATTTGATTACAACTGCGCAAGATTACTCGAGCACATAGTTCTTTTCCTAGACATGTTGTATATTAAATTAAAGGTCTTTTGAATACCTTTCATTTGATGTAGATATTATCCATATAGAAAAAACATCGGGACTATATTTATTATTGACATTCAAACAATTTTCCGAATGGCGCTAGGGTCAAACGAAATTCATCACAGTCATTAACTCAAGTAATTGTAATGACTTTTATTGAGATTCTGGTATATTAAACATAGTTATGAGCTCAAAGTTGAAATATTGGACCGGTTAAGCAATTTCAAATTTCATAAAATTATTTTGAAAATTGCAAACACTAGTTTGATTACAAATTGTACATCGATGGACGGATATGGCTAAATCGATCTAGAAAATGATTCTACGCCGATTGTTATACTTTAAGGTTGGTATAGGACTAATATTTTTGGGCGTTACAAACATCAGCACAAACCCAATATAACCTCCGCACAAAGGTTAGGAAAAAAGAAAAAAATTACACTCATACGTTTAAAAGTTAAACATTTCAAAAGTCTAGTCTATCATCTAATCTATAGTCTAGTCTATAATCTAGTCTATAGTATAGTTTACAGTCTAGTCTAGTGTATAGTCTATTCTACAGTTTAGTCTATAGTCTAGTGTATTGTCTATTCTACAGTTTAGTCTATAGTTCTGTCTAAAGTCTAGTCTATAATCTAGTCTATTTAGTGTATAGTCTATCTAGTCTAGCTGAAAATTAGTTTAGTACTTTAAAGTACTATTTTTGTAATAAGTTAGTACTATTCTAAAATTTAAAATTTTCATGTCTGTTACTGCTCCTTTTTGTAAAATCTAGCCTTTCGTAGTCAAAATTAGAAATTTGAAACATTTCCCAAATTTCCCAACAATTTTTGAAATAAAACAAATTTTTTTCTATGGTTTCAAATAATTTAATTATTTACTTGACTATCTAAACAAATATTCGATTATATCAATAATATATTGTAAAATAAAACAAATTTTAATACATAATGGTCAAGAGAGTTTAAGTAGCAAGTAATGGGGGACATTGTTTTAACAAAAATTAAAAAAAAAATAATACAATTAAACAAATCATAAAAATAAATTGAGAATCACAAATAATACAATTTATTATAAATTTTAAAAGGAGGGATTTTTTTTTTTTTAAGTCAAGTAAAGTATAATTAAAAATTGCATTTGAATTTAAAGCAAAAAAGCCCAAGACTTTTTTGTTTAGTATGATAGAGTAGATGGAGTATATTTTATGTTTAGAATACAATTTAAATTTAAGTTATTAAACTAAATATGTAAAGAATAGTTGTAATTATGACTGGAAACTCATAATGAATATAGTAAATTAGAAAAAAGAAACAAAGAACTAATTAAAGTTGCAAGTTTTTGCTAAATCGAAGAGAAATAGGTTTAAAGTTTAGGGCAATCTGTAAAAAAAGAAAGGAAAAAAGAAAATATAATGAAAATTTGTTAGAATTAAGAAAGACTATAAAAACAAAGAGACATATGGAGTTAAAATTACCTGTATAAATTGTAGTTAAGTCCTTTTTGTATTTGATTTAAAGAAAGAAGAACAAACAGAGGATTTTGGGGGTAGAAGTTTTCAACAAAGTTTCCAATCATAGGTATTATTTTCAAACAGTCACAGGAACGTTTTAAAACATTTTCACTTCACATGTAAGCATTTGTTTTTATTTAAAGGCTGATTGTTGTGTAAAGGAGTAATAAAGGGGAATTTTTTCCAGCTTTTCAAAGGTTAGTATTTGTATTTTTATGTTGGGTTACTTAAACACTAAAGTTTGTAAAATATTGTAATATTTGGTGGTTAAATAAATTAAAAACTGAAAACAATGTTATATATTTTTTAAAAAGTTTTCCTGTTTAAAATTGGCTGTAATAGTTTCCATGAGGCCTGTTTTTTGATTTTGAACCAATTACATTTAAAAAATGTTAAACCATCCATGATATTGATTTGATTTTTTTTGACACATTTACATTACACCATAATAATTTTTTGAAAAATGTCAAGGTGGTAGCGTGAAGGGGGAACACATTTAAGCCGTTGTTTTTGGGGCGGGGTTTTTTTATGAGTTGACAAGGGGTAGGAGGGAAGAGAGAAAATTGAAACATATTGTTATTAGTTTTGCGTTTTTTTGAAGGACAATTTTATAATATTTTTTTAATAATACAAATAAAAATTTTGAAAAAACCAATTGTAAATTTAAAAAGCCAAAAAATGATAATTACAATTAAATAAAAATAACCATTACATACGTGTTATATGAAAAACCAATTGTACTACTTGGATACCCAAAGAAAATAATACATAGTGCGTGTTTGCTAAGAGTTTGTGCTAAAGATGTATTTAGTGTACGATTACACCTAATAAAACACAATTACTTAAACAATTGTTAGTAAAGCCCTTTAATTATGGACCATTAACATATTTCAGACCATTACTAAGAACCCCAAATATGTATGTGTTTTAATTCCAGATTCCAGTTAGTAACATTAAAGTAAAATTGTGTTTAATTTAACTGTTAGTTATTAATAAACGCATAAGGTTAATTAAAGCATTGCCTACATAATGTAACACTTTTTTCTTTATAAATAAAACCATAAAATACTTTTAAAAGAAAAATTATTTGCTGAAGGGATATAAACATATAAATAATACAAATTTATAATATAAATAATAAAAATCATATAAAACAAGAAAATAATAATCTACAACATAAGACTAAGACAATAAATTAACTTTACTTGAAAAAAAAAATAAACAATTAAAAAAATGGTTTAGCTAATAAAACGACAATTTAATAAGTTTAAGTGGGGAAAAATAAACTAACTATAACAGGCAAATTAAAGTAAATAATATAATAATATTTTAACAAAATAAAACAGGAAGTGGGTGGGTTTAAGGGATGTGAGGGATGAGGGTTAAATAGGGGAAAATACATAAATAATAATAATATTTCAAATAAAATAATTCGTAATACAAAGTGCAGTAGTAGAAGATAAAAAGGAGACATTACCAGTTAACACGCTTGTTAGAGAGAATATCCAAAATACTCTTAACCACATCGGTACTAGAGTTGGTGCCACCCAAGTCTAGAAATATAAAAAATAACAGTTTTTAGAAAAAATATACATTTTTTGTGAAACTATATAGTGTCTTATATAATCTAGTCTATAGTCTAGTCTATAATCAAGTCCATAGTCTAGTCTATAGTCAAGTATATAGTCTAGTCTATAGTCATATCTATAGTCTAGTCTATGGTCGTCAAGTCAATATTCTAGTCTATAGTCTAGATTATAATAAACAATTAAATCTAGTTTGTAGACTAGTCTATAGTCTAGTCTATAATAAACAACTATGTCTAGTTTATAGTCAAGTATTGTCTATAGTCTAGTCTATAGTCTAATCTATAGTCTAGTCTATAGTCTAATCTATAGTCTAGTCTATAGTCTAGTCTATAGTCTAGTCTATAGTCTAGTCTATAGTCTAGTCTAGTCTATAGTCTAGTCTATAGTCTAGTCTATAGTCTAGTCTATAGTCTAGTCTAGTCTAGTCTATAGTCTAGTCTATAGTCTAGTCTAGTCTAGTCTAGTCTAGTCTAGTCTATAGTCTAGTCTATAGTCTAGTCTATAGTCTAGTCTATAGTCTAGTCTATAGTCTAGTCTATAGTCTAGTCTATAGTCTAGTCTATAGTCTAGTCTATAGTCTAGTCTATAGTCTAGTCTATAGTCTAGTCTATAGTCTAGTCTATAGTCTAGTCTATAGTCTAGTCTATAGTCTAGTCTATAGTCTAGTCTATAGTCTAGTCTATAGTCTAGTCTATAGTCTAGTCTATAGTCTAGTCTATAGTCTAGTCTATAGTCTAGTCTATAGTCTAGTCTATAGTCTAGTCTATAGTCTAGTCTATAGTCTAGTCTATAGTCTAGTCTATAGTCTAGTCTATAGTCTAGTCTATAGTCTAGTCTATAGTCTAGTCTATAGTCTAGTCTATAGTCTAGTCTATAGTCTAGTCTATAGTCTAGTCTATAGTCTAGTCTATAGTCTAGTCTATAGTCTAGTCTATAGTCTAGTCTATAGTCTAGTCTATAGTCTAGTCTATAGTCTAGTCTATAGTCTAGTCTATAGTCTAGTCTATAGTCTAGTCTATAGTCTAGTCTATAGTCTAGTCTATAGTCTAGTCTATAGTCTAGTCTATAGTCTAGTCTATAGTCTAGTCTATAGTCTAGTCTATAGTCTAGTCTACAGTCTAGTCTATAGTCTAGTCTATAGTCTAGTCTATAGTCTAGTCTATAGTCTAGTCTATAGTCTAGTCTATAGTCTAGTCTATAGTCTAGTCTATAGTCTAGTCTATAGTCTAGTCTATAGTCTAGTCTATAGTCTAGTCTATAGTCTAGTCTATAGTCTAGTCTATAGTCTAGTCTATAGTCTAGTCTATAGTCTAGTCTATAGTCTAGTCTATAGTCTAGTCTATAGTCTAGTCTAGTCTAGTCTAGTCTATAGTCTAGTCTATAGTCTAGTCTATAGTCTAGTCTATTGTCTAGTCTATAGTCTAGTCTATAGTCTATAGTCTAGTCTATAGTCTAGTCTATAGTCTAGTCTATAGTCTAGTCTATAGTCTAGTCTATAGTCTAGTCTATAGTCAAGTCTGTAGTCTAGTTTATAGTATAATTTATAGTCTAGTTTATAGTATAGTCTATACCCTAGTTTTATAATTATTTTTGTTATTTTTATTTTAGCAATTAAATGTTGTATTGAAAAAGTTTTTTAAAACTTACCTGGAGTTCTAATACCCCTATCGACAATGGTCTCATAGGTGGCTTCCTGAATAACACGGGCATGTTCCTTATGGCCCAAATGATTCAACATATCAACACTGGCATTAATCATGGCAACAGGATTGGCAATATTTTTGCCGGCAATGGCAGTACCAGTATTACGAGTACCAGGTTCAAAAATGGCATACTTAAAAAGTATAAAAGCAACAACAAAAACAGTTAAAAAATAAATTCTATGTAAAAATTATAATAAAATAACAAAATACAAACATGATCACCGTAGTTACGGCCAGACAAAAGACCAGCACCACCAATCAAACCGCAAATGACATTAGAAACAATGGTACCATACAAATTGGTCATGTTCATGACATCGAACTAAAGGAATATATAAAAAATATAGCTTTACAAAATTTAAAATTCTTCAAAATTTAATCTATTTCACCCACCTGATGAGGATTAGATACCAACTGCATGCAAGTGTTATCAATAATCATGTTGTTGTGCTCCAATTCGGGATAATCTTTGTGCACTCTTTTGGCAACATCCAAGAACAAACCATCAGATAATTTCATAATATTGGCCTTGTGTATGGTGGTCACCTTCTTGCGACCATTTTGACGAGCATATTCAAAAGCATAACGAGCTACACGTTCGGCATTTTCGGTGGTGACGACCTTCATGCTCTCAACAATACCGGGCACAGATTCGTGTTCCAACATGGCGTACTCACCATCGGTATTTTGACGAATCAAAACAATATCGATATTGCTATGGCGAGCAGGAATACCGGGGAAAGATTTGCAGTGCACAACATTAACATACAAATCCAATTCATTACGAATGGCCACATTACGGGAAACTTCAGTTAGACTGTGAGATTTAGTTTCAATGTTACCCTTGATGGCTACACCATTACGTTTGATGGAGGTGATGGCATATTCCAAATCATCATTGCCCTCAGTAGAGGGATCAATGTCAATTACCTCAAAATCAATGGGAGCACCGCAGTAGGCGAAAATATCGCGAATGTAATGCATTAGTTCGGGACCAATGCCACCGCCGGGCAACATAGTTACAGCATGACGACCACCATATTGAGCTGAAGGAATATCTGTTTTCTTTTATTTTTTACAAGAAAATAAAAGTTTATACTTATAACCTCACAATTTCGTATTGCTAAAACAAAAAAAATATATTTTGCACAAAAACAACTTACAGTTAATTTTCTTTGCAAAGCAGATTTGGTATGGGCCACATCTTCAGTTTTTTCCTTAGTCACCAACAGGGGATAGCTCTGCAGAAAATTATGCGTATAAAAATATTAATATAACAATCACAGGATATTATTTTTCTGTCGCCAAATTATGTAATTTTTTTTTTCTTTCAAATTTTTATTTGTTTTAAAAATTTTTCTTTCGTTTTTCTTACCCTGCACAGGAATGGTGTTTGGGTCTTGAGCAATCTTTGCGTTAAACGTACAGCCATGGTTTTTTATAAATTTTCCGGCGTATTTTTAAATAAATTTATTAGAAAAATAATTTTTTGCAAAAATTGATGTTCTTTGATGGTCGGCCGTTTTGTGCACTACAGAGTTACTCGGATCAAGTCGCCTTCTAGCCGCCGGTCAATTTTTATAAGTCGTGCCACCGTCCTTTGAATTGCAAAGCCGGCATAGTCGTAGCCGCAGTTTTCTGTTTTGTTTTACACATATGAGATATTGTCAAAAACTTATCATTCCTTTTCAATTGAATTTAATTCCTAATAACTTTCAAAATAATGGAATTGTAACAAACTTCTAGATTGTAGGTCTCCATTTCAGCCAGCAATAATTTGTTCAAATCTTAAAAATCGGTTGTCAATGCTCGGGATTCGAAATTTGTCTTCAGAATTTCTTTAATTATGAATTTCTAACAGTTTTTTATATATCGGCAGATCCTCATTTAATAAAAAAAATTTCTTCAGATTATCATCTATGGAAAAACTGTTATAATAAAAATCTCTAAATTTACAGAGACAATTAATTACCTGTACAACAAACTATTATGAAGATGTTTTTCTAAAAAACGGACAACTTCAACTTATTAATTTTTAATTAATTTACTTTGGACAACTTTCTAATGAAAAATTTCCGTTTGGAATTTAGCCGACATATTATTTGCAGCCCCGTCCAAAACTAGTAACGGCGTCAAGCATATTTAAACGGTTTGAATTTAGTGATGCCACCCAGCCCAACAATTTTTATAATTAAATTTCTTTAAAAAAATTAAAAAACATAACCAGTAGGAAGAAATAAAAATGGAAGTATAAAAGTATAACGATCATATGCACATGTAAAATATATACCAACACAAATGAGATATTTTAAATATATGTCCTCCCTTTTGGACCCTTTAGTGCTTTAATTAATTTTGCACAACGTAGGTATACGGACTTGATTCTTTTCCTTAATTGGACAGATTTTCCTAATTTGTAGCACTTAATCGATTGGCAAACTCTTGACCGGTTTAGTTAGATGTTGGATCGATTACAAGGACTCAATAATATAATAATTTTTGTGAATTAAGAAACTTATTGGGTATCCGAAGACCCCATTTAATCAAAACAATATCCAGGGAATCATATATTTCCAATTAAAAACAAACTTTATAAACAGATGATTCCTTATGTGAGCTAATTAGGAAATAAAAATTGACCCATATTTTTCTCGTTTTATTTAGCTGCCATTGCTTTGGCAATTGTTACCATTTTACGTACAACATTTTTATCACAAATATCATAGGGCAGTACATCAGCCTTACCCATTGATACCTCACATTCCATTTTATTAACATTATTACTATCCTCAGTATTGTCTGCTGCCGCTTTGGCGGAGGCATGAAATTCTGTACATTTGCTGGTGGTTAATATTTCTTCTAAATTTGTTACATTTACACCCGCACCTGGCATTATTGTTATGTCCTTATGATGTTTAGCTATTAATTGGCACAAATAATCCAATCCCTCCTCGGCCGTTTGTCTAAAACCACTGGATAGTAAACGTTTAAAACCCATGTCTATAATTAACTCCACATTTTCATCCATTTTCTCAGGATTGGTGACATCGAAGGCCCGATGAAAGGTAAGCGGCAAACCTTTAGCTTTTTCCACCACCTGTTGGCATTGTTCTGTATTTATTTCTCTGCCGGCGGTAAGAGCACCAAAGACAAAACCATCTGCTCCTTCGGCCAGCAATAAGTCCATGTCATGTAAAATGGCAGACATTTCAAGTTCGGTATAAACGAAATCATGACCTCTTCTGGGTCTCAACATACAAAATATAGGTATGGTTAGAGGTAAATCTTTGAGAGCCTTTAAAATTCCCACAGAAGGTGTCAGGCCTCCTTCACTTAAAGCAGAGCAAAGCTCTAAGCGTGCAGCTCCACCCTCTGCAGCTGCTATAGCCGATGCTATAGAATCTACACAAACTTCCAATTTTATATTATGACTAGAAGACATTATTAATAAGAAATATAATTTGTTAATTAAAATTGGAGAAAGTTTTGCTATTATCAGTAAAATTTTATTTATTTATCTTTACGTCAAGTGCTGCCAAGTTTAAAAATGACAAATAAACATACTTTTTTTGTGTTATGACTACTAAACACAGCTTTATTAAATGTCATGACAAATTTACGTAAGGTGATATTGATAGCTCAGCTATTTGTATGAGAAATGTCAAATCACTCGTATAAAAACTATTCTCGTAATAACAGATATGTCAAATTATTTATAAATATGTTATTTATTTAAATCCACCTTACCTTGTGTCATTCAAGCTTGTTCTTCTTTGTTATTTTTTCATCAATCAGAGAATTTGCACATTTTTTATAAAAACCTAGTAAATCACATTATTTTTCTTTAAAATTATTAATAAAACTTATTAAATAACAATGGCTGATCATGAAATTAATGGCGCTGAAGACGATGTCCAAGATAAGAAACAAAAAAAGCAAACTAAACATGATGGTGGTGCTGCCGATCTGGAAAGAGTTACTGACTATGCTGAAGAAAAGGAAATCTCCACCGCCAATATATCAAGTGTAGGTTTAGTTCTTGATAAGTTGCAAATGTTAACAAATTTATTAATTTTGTGCGATTTTATAGGCTGTAGAACAATTCGGCAATCAAAGACAAAAGGAAGATGAGTTAAGGGAGGCCAAAGAAAAGGAACTGCAAATGGTCCAAGTTAAGAAAGAAGATATAGAACTTATAGTAAGTTGCGAAGGAGTATAGAATTTTCTTACTTTTCTAAAATGTTGTTTTTTTACTTTTAGATGAACGAAATGTTGATTACTAAAATGCAAGCTGAAAAAGTATTGCGCGAACAGAGTGGAGATGTAGTGGCGGCTTTGGAGGCAATTATTGCTAATTAGTTTTTTCTAAGTTATATTTTTTTAATAATCTAAATAAATATTTTAAAAGGAACTAATCAATTTTAATGCAATTGGTTATTTACTTGATTTGCTATCGACAAAATTTGCCTTGTATGTAGTTCACAGCAAAACCCGAAGTAAACAGCAGGACGAATGGAACATCGAGGTAATTGCCGGTTCACACAGGTCAACTTTTTTTGGAAACCTTGATTTTGTGTGTGAGAAAAAGAGAACGAATATCAATTATCTCTTCCACCCACACATAAAATCAAACTGCCACTATCTGAATTTCGGTAACAATAACAGCACCTAGTATTTTTTACAGTGTAGGCACAGATTAAAATTTTGGTTTATGTCTAAGCTTAAGGATAAAGTCCTACAATTTAGTACTAAACTAAAAATGTGTATAACTAAAATGAAAAAAATTTGGCAACATTGTTTGGAAGCTATATTAACTGAAAAGTATGGCAGCTATGTATAAAAGGTTTTTGAACAGACTACACTATTCAATTATGTTTGTCAAGGGTTGCATCTAGAATAGAGAAAGAAAATTAGAAATAAGCGTTTTTTTAAATAGAATAGATTTAAACTAGGCTATATAATAGACAATATATTGCTATAGATTAGACTATAAATTATACTATAGACTAAACTATTGATTAGACTATAGACTGATCATTGACTAGACTACAGATTAGGCTATAGATTTTCTTTCAGAAATTACAAGGTTTTCATCAAATTTTAATTCGAGTTATAAATTTTACTTAAATATTCTCTAACACATACTAACCACCCTCTATAAAATAACAACAAAATATAAATTTAACACTATAATGATGAATTTTATTTAAACCAATTAAATTTAATCTAAACCATATAATTTTCTTGCACATACTATTAAACTTTCATATGTCCATTGCGTTATTTCAAAGATACATTTAAAATTTAATTTTCAAAAAATAGTTTTTATAAATCCAAGAAAAACAAGAAGAAAAACTTAAACAAAAAGTGGTAAATAAACAATACATATATAATTCGTTTAAAGTTTAATTTAAAAATATTAATCCGCTGCAGCTATAGTTATATGAATAATTAACTTAATAAATTAAACTATGTATTTAAATATTTTTGTAAATTGTCACACGAAGGCATATTGATATTTTGGGCCTTGCGGAACAAATCACGATCGCCAAAACTACGGGCCTTTGCCAGCATAGAGTCGCCTGAAGGAGGAAGGAAAAGGATTAAAAACATTTCTTAGTATTTCTATTAAAAATTAAAAACAAAAACTTACGATAATTTCTTTCACGACTACAAGAGTGTTTTAGATGATTAAAGAAATCTTCTTCCACCGATTCCTCTAAACGTCCCACCGAACCTTGATACTCGGAATAGAAGTTGTCTTTTACATAATAGGGAATTTTCAAGCCATTGGTTTCACGTTTAACCGAGTATTTACTGAAATAAATAAATTTTTCAATATTTATAACAAAACATTGTTAAAAAACTTACTGTGAGGGTGACAAACTGTAAATGGGATCAGATATAAAGAAGGAGGACATCATAGACAAACCAATAAGCAGCAGAATAGGCAAAAGATTTATCAAAGCCGAAGAAGAGGATTGATTCTGTAACGATTAAATAAAATAAATAAACCAATATATTTAACTTTAAAAAACAAATACCTCTCTTTCTTCTCTTTGTTGACGGCGACGTTGTGACCGCATGTAAACATTTTGTTGGGGAAACCCGGTGCCAAAGAACATATTAAATAATTCTTCTGCGCTTACATCGGCCTGGAAACCACGTGCATAGCCATAATCACTGGCATAATAATTGCCACGCATGCCACCATTACCTCCACCACCGCCACCACTATGTGACTCATTAATGCCGTACATATCATACTGTTTACGCTTCTCCGGATCCGTTAAGATAGCCGCAGCATTGCCCACAGCCTTAAAAGCTTCTACTGCACCGGGAGCACGATTTTTATCGGGATGCAATTGCAAGGCAAGCTTTTTATAAGCTTTTTTAATTTCCGAATCGGTTGATTGTTTTGTTACGCCCAAGATCTCATAATAATCTTTACATTTCTTGACTTTGCGTACAGCCTCCAACTGGTCGGAGGTATAGTCAGGTTCGGCATTACGTGAGTCTGATAATTTACGTTTACGCACTCCCTCACCATTGCTGGTATTATTGGCGGAGGATGCTGTAGAACCTCCGCCGTTTGCGGGGAAACTTTTGACTTTGGTTAAAAGATCTAAGGGGAAAATCAAGTTATTTTTTAATGGGAATTATAAAATAATTACAATTTAAAGTTTAAACTGTAGAAAACAATAGTTTTTTATAAACTTTCATTATTTAAAATCTCCGGGGAAATTATGCCTTGCCTTTCTTACTTATCTTAGAATTTTGTTTCCATAAAAATGCAATAAATTTAAAATTCTTTCAATGTATTAGAAAGTTCTTCAATTAATTTTTCTTTTGAAAACTATTTTACATATTCCACTAACTCACCTTTGGCCTTCTGAGTAGGAAAAAGTTTCTCCGCCTTTAGTAAAAACTTTTCGGCCTTTTCCAATTTACCCTCGGATAGTGCTTGGACCGCTATATCAATACAGCGTAAAGCCTCATCTTTATTACCCTCTATGATCGTCATTGTTTATTTTACTATCGATAGTTGTTTTTCACGTAATTTCGTTTATTTTACTTCAAGACCACCTTTTCGGGGTCTATCGGAAAGAAACAAACAAAAAAAGGTACGCGATACGGGTACGTGCTGTTTAATATATTAATATGTATGTAGCTTTATACTACGCGATGTCTTAATGTAGTAAAATTTAATATAAAAAAAAAGAAAAATATATGGGTCAGGGGTGTTTTGGGGTAAAAATCTAATTTTTTCACTCGTACTAGAGAAGACCCTTAACTGTAAAGGAAGAAAATTTTATTTTATTCACCAATAAACAACAAATTTCCTATTTGAACAACAATACCTTAAATGTTTTTAAACAAATTTTAACAAAATTAACACTTTTTCTTTAGTTTTAAATAATTTTTCTTGTTAATTATAAATCCACATCATTTTTTCTTGTATTATTATAAGGTAAAAGACAGTAATAAAAAATAGAAAGAGAGAATGAGACAAAGAAAAATATATGACATTTTAAATTGTCATCAAAGAGACATGTTTAGTAAGTAAAACAAAACAAACTAAACACTGCTGCTTTAGGATAAAAAGAATTAAAATTATTAAAAATATAAATAAAAAATATAAGCAAATTATTTAAAACACATAATTAAATGCTAAGCTTTATTTGTATTGCATTTATTTTTCACTTAATTTTATTTTTCTTTTGCTGATCTGGCAACTCTTTTTTATTTAGTTTTTTGCCGTCTGACTTTTCTTGGGAATGTCGTTCGTCGGTCGTGTGTTGCTTTTGCTTAATTTTTCCTAAATAATTGCATAAATTTTAAAAATTCCTTTAAAATCTTAACATTTAATAAGAATTTTATCGAGATATTTCAAAAGTTTAACAATTATTTACTTTTAAAGGTGTGAAAAATCATTTAAAAAAATAGAATTCACAGACGTCTTTGCAAATTACAACAAAAACAACGTTGTTTTTAATTGAGTTGCTGCGTACGTTTTTGAGAACGAGAGTGTGATTTGTGTGTGTGTTTTTTGTGGTGTAAAAATGGCGACAGGCTTTTAAAAGCTATAAAACATATTTCATGTAAATTGTTATATTTACAATTTAAACGAAATTTTTTTAAATCAAATCAAAAAGAAAATAAAACTTACAAAACTAATAACATCTTTGCTGTGGCAATAAAAACAACATAAAGCGAAGGTAAGTGGTTTTCTTTCTCATAAGCATTTTTTCTATTTGTAACCATAACACACAGTTGTATTTAAGTGTTTCGAATGGCTGAGAGCCGACAAAACCTAGCCGCCAGCGACAAAAGTTAATCGTTTTAAATCTCTTAAAAATAAACTTATTATTATAGAATTATTTAGCAATTTCGTTTAATTTTCGAAATTTATTAAGTTTGCATTTTATTTTCATTTTGTGCGCTTTTTTGTTATTCGACTAAAAGTAAGAATTCTAAGTGCCGCCTATATTTTTACATTCTAACGCCGCCTGCTTGAAATCATTAGGCGCAGAAGTCTGGGGCAGCTGTTCAAAACAAAACAAATTACATTTTAAAAATATAAATTTATAGTGCATTTATTTAAATTTTAAAGCATTTTTCAAATTTAAGTGGTTCGTAGAATTCTTATGTTGATTGTATTTAAGTATTTTCTTAAAAAAATAAATTTTAATTATTTCCAAGTGTTTAATTAGAAATTTGACTACATTTAACTTGTTTACAATTGGTGAGTTTGTGTACTAATTGGATTTGATGATTTTAGTAAGAATTTATAAAAAATGGCTCTAATAAAGAAAAATACTTATTTTTAGCTTAGTAAGAAATCAACAGTTTAGTTCTAGGTCTAGTTCAGTTCTAGGTCTAGTTCAGTTTTAGATTAGTTTACGTTCAGTTCATGTTCATTTCAAGTTCAGTTCTAGATCAGTTTTAGAGTAATTTTAGTTAATTTTATTCCAATCTTCATTTTTAAAAAATAGTAACACTGTAATGAATGGATTTTATATAATTTTATTCTAATCATTATTTTCTCGTATTGGTGAATTAATTAAATCTTTTTACATTTTCAGAATTTCAGTCTTTATAAATTTAGGATTTTGTTTTTAAAATAACTATCTATTAGTAATCATTTTGAAATCTTTACAATCTATTTACATTTCTTAACAAATTATTAAAAATATGTTTAAATTCTATTTAATTTTTCGTGATAATCTTACGGGTATACCACCCTTGGGCATTATGGGAATACCAAAGTTATCAATTTCAATTTCATGACGATTAGGATTGATTTCTATATTGAAATTAGTTAATACTTGAGCAATTGCGGCTTTTACATTTACTCTACCCATACGTTGAGCTGCAAAACAAATGAAATATATTTTAGGATTAAGATGAAATTTGTAAAATAAAATCTATCTTCAACTTACCTATACAAATACGTGGTCCCTCTCCAAATGGCATATAAGCAATGGGATCGTAATTCATATTCTCCTCCAAAAATCTTTCAGGATCATAACGTAACGGATTGGGGAAGTATTCAGGATCACGATGCATACCAAATAATGATATTATAATTGGTGTACCGCTTTTAATAACCATATTTGTATCGGGTATGGGGTAGTCATGGGTACATTCACGGTTCAATATGGGTAAACCTGGATATTTACGTGTTGTCTCCATTATGCATAAATCTAAGAATTTCATATCTTTCAATGCATCATAAGTCATTTTGCCATGCTTTTCCAAAGCCTGTTCAACATCTTCTTGGGCTTTTTTCAACAGTTCAGGGTATTGAGCCAATTCGTAGAGGGTAAAAGCGGTAGTAGAGGCAGAGGTCTCAAAACCGGCTACATAAAATAAAAACAATTGGGCTGCTATCATATCCACCGACAAGCTGCTTAGAGCATCTTTTTGTGTGTAAAGTAAAAAGAAAAGAAAACCGGAAAATTGATTAAAAATTTAAATTTTATACAATTCTTTGTAAAGATAGTGAACACACACTTATATATGTCACTACTAGTTATGTATTATTTTGTGTGCTTAAATTTTCCTACCCTTTGTTTTCTCTGCCGACCATTCTTCATCGTTATCATCATTGATTTTTCCTGTATTACGTAGTTGCAACAACAATTGCAACATATCCTTACGTGTCACATTATTTTTTTCTCTATATTCGATAGTGCGACGCACTAGTTTTTTCATAGAGTCAGGAGCCGGTTCTGACCAGCCCATACGTTGAAATACTTTTTCCAAACTGTAAAGAAATTATGTAGACGTTTTTTTTTGCGCAATAATCATTTTGTAAAACAAATAATTTGACTTTTTCAGTTTTTTAATGTTAGGTATAAGATTTTTGTTAAATGACATTTTTAATTTCCATATAGATAAATGAGGCATTCGGTTTTGAGATTCTAGTTCAGTTCTAGTTCAGTTCAAGTTCAGTTCTAGTTCAGTTCTAGTTTAGTTCTAGTTCAGTTCTAGTTCAGATCTAGTTCAGTTCTAGTTCAGTTCTAGTTCAGTTCCAGTTCAGTTCTAGTTCAGTTCTAGTTCAGTTCTAGTTCAGTTCTACTTCAGTTCTAGTTCAGTTCTAGTTCAGTTCTAGTTCAGTTCTAGTTCAGTTCTAGTTCAGTTCTAGTTCAGTTCTCAGTTCATTCTAGTTCAGTTCTAGTTCAGTTCTAGTTCAGTTCTAGTTCAGTTCTAGTTCAGTTCTAGTTCAATTCTAGTTCAGTTCTAGTTCAGTTCTAGTTCAGTTCTAGTTCAGTTCTAGTTCAGTTCTAGTTCAGTTCTAGTTCAGTTCTAGTTCAGTTCTAGTTCAGTTCTAATTCAGTTCTAGTTCAGTTCTAGTTCAGTTCTAGTTCAGTTCTAGTTCAGTTCTAGTTCAGTTCTAGTTCAGTTCTAGTTCAGTTCTAGTTCAGTTCTAGTTCAGTTCTAGTTCAGTTCTAGTTCAGTTCTAGTTCAGTTCTAGTCCAATTCTAGTTCAGTTCTAGTTCAGTTCTAGTTCAGTTATAGTTCAGTTCTATTTCAGTTCTATTTCATTCTATTTCAGTTTTCTAGTTCAGTTCTAGTTCAGTTCTAGTTTCAGTTCTAGTTCAGTTTCTAGTTCAGTTCTAGTTCAGTTCTAGTTCAGTTCTAGTTCAGTTCTAGTTCAGTTTCTAGTTCAGTTCTAGTTCAGTTCTAGTTCAGTTCTAGTTCAGTTCTAGTTCAGTTCTAGTTCAGTTTCTAGTTCAGTTCTAGTTCAGTTCTAGTTCAGTTCTAGTTCAGTTCTAGTTCAGTTCTAGTTCAGTTCTAGTTCAGTTCTAGTTCAGTTCTAGTCCATTTCTTCTAGTTCAGTCTAGTTCAGTTCTAGTTCAGTTCTAGTTCAGTTATAGTTCATTTCTGTTCAGTTCTAGTTCAGTTCTAGTTCAGTTCTAGTTCGTTCTAGTTCAGTTCTAGTTCAGTTTCTAGTTCAGTTCTAGTTCAGTTCTAGTTCAGTTCTAGTTCAGTTCTAGTTCAGTTCTAGTTCAGTTCTAGTTCAGTTCTAGTTCAGTTTCTAGTTCAGTTTCTGTTCAGTTCTAGTTCAGTTCTAGTTCAGTTCTAGTTCAGTTCTAGTTCAGTTCTAGTTCAGTTCTAGTTCAGTTCTAGTTCAGTTCTAGTTCAGTTCTAGTTCAGTTCTAGTTCAGTTCTAGTTCAGTTCTAGTTCAGTTCTAGTTCAGTTCTAGTTCAGTTCTAGTCAGTTCTAGTTCAGTTCTAGTTCAGTTCTAGTTCAGTTCTAGTTCAGTTCTAGTTCAGTTCTAGTTCAGTTCTTAGTTCAGTCTAGTTCAGTTCTAGTTCAGTTCTAGTTCAGTTCTAGTTCAGTTCTAGTTCAGTTCTAGTTCAGTTCTAGTTCAGTTCTAGTTCAGTTCTAGTTCAGTTCTAGTTCTTCTAGTTCAGTTCTAGTTCAGTTCTAGTTCAGTTCTAGTTCAGTTCTAGTTCAGTTCTAGTTCAGTTCTAGTTCAGTTCTAGTTCAGTTCTAGTTCAGTTCTAGTTCAGTTCTAGTTCAGTTCTAGTTCAGTTCTAGTTCAGTTCTAGTTCAGTTCTAGTTCAGTTTCTAGTTCAGTTCTAGTTCAGTTCTAGTTCAGTTCTAGTTCAGTTCTAGTTCAGTTCTAGTTCAGTTCTAGTTCAGTTCTAGTTCAGTTCTAGTTCAGTTCTAGTTCAGTTCTAGTCAGTTCTAGTTCAGTCTAGTTCAGTTCTAGTTCAGTTCTAGTTCAGTTCTAGTTCAGTTCTAGTTCAGTTCTAGTTCAGTTCTAGTTCAGTTCTAGTTCAGTTCTAGTTCAGTTCTAGTTCAGTTCTAGTTCAGTTCTAGTTCAGTTCTAGTTCAGTTCTAGTTCAGTTCTAGTTCAGTTCTAGTTCAGTTCTAGTTCAGTTCTAGTTCAGTTCTAGTTCAGTTCTAGTTCAGTTCTAGTTCAGTTCTAGTTCAGTTCTAGTTCAGTTCTAGTTCAGTTCTAGTTCAGTTCTAGTTCAGTTCTAGTTTCAGTTCTAGTTCAGTTCTAGTTCAGTTCGTCT